AAACATACATAATTACGTTATTTTGGCAGTTAGGGCTCGACATGTATATTTGTACAGTTCTGCACATAAAATAAGTTAGGTAATTTTTAATAATATGTTAAAACTTGTCAAAATATGGTGCGGCTATAATTTTTTCGACCACTGTAAGGAAGTAGGAAAGCTTTCGACTCACACATAGACAGAGTGAAGTCCCCCCTGAATGCCGTAGCTTTTTGAACGAGAACATACATATTTTCGTAGAATTCTACTCATATATATGGTTGCCGGGTACACCGGACAATTGATGGTAATTGCAAAGCTGACGAACTGACAGGGAAAGGTAGGTTCCCACGACAGTCGGGTCTACGTAACAGGAAAAACCCAGATTTATATCTGGCCAAGGACTGTCACTCCAGCAACACTCCCCAAAATCTCTTTGGGGAATATGTATGCTGTTACAACAACAACAACCACCCAAAACCTTCCAGGAAAGGGCACGGTGGATGTTCTTAGCAATAGCCACTTTCAAGCAGTTTGTTAAGGATCGCACCATTCTAGTAGCCAAGGAACGCTGGAACAATTTTCACCTTGCGAAACTTTCAGGATTACCTGGTATTTCTATAAAAGGAAACGCTTACGGGCCACTTACTAATGTGGAATCAAAACCATGTAAACCGAATCGAAAAAGTTACCAAATTGAAAAATAAATTACCAAATTACCAAACTTGATAAATAAAGAAAAAAATTACCAAATTTGGTTAAAAATTACCAAAGCGGCAACGCTGATTACATATTACTTTACACGAAATATGAACCTCTGTAAAGTAAATTTTTTAGGCAAGCTTTGGGTCGTTGAACACGAAAAAATACCCATGGTTTCAAAGAAGTGTTTTCGAGATTTGTTCGAAAAACCTATTTTTAGTACTTTTTCAGTTATTCCTCAATATCTCATGAAACGACCAACAGTTCGAAAGGTATTGATGGGCTCTTTGCAAAAATATATATTTTTTGTGCAGATTATGTTCCGTAACATCTACATTTCTCATCAGATTTTCATTTACTGTAAAAAGAAAATGATTTAAAATCAATTTTTCATCGAAATCGGCAAAGTAATATAGTTTTGTAAGAGGACTGTAGGTCACTTATGTTGACTGGATAATTTTTTCATGAGATATTGACGAATAGGTCCGAAATGTACCCATAACACGTTTTTCAAAAAAAATTACGAAAGCACTTGTTTGAAAGGAAAATTAGCTTGGAAAATATTTTTTTTCTTAAGCGATTACCACAAAATTTGTAGAACAGTGTTATCGATATATTTGATGCTGGTCTTCAATTTCTCGTCATCCATTGTCCATAACCGTACAATATTTAGAACGCATTGACTAGTTGAACCTTCAAAACCAGCTTACCCTTATGTAGTTATCAATTAGTTATCGACACTGCTTTTATTTCGATAAGGAAAAGTTAATTATAAAATATCGAAGAAAATGCGGGACAAAGGCAGGACACTTAGAAAAAATCAGTACATTTTGGGGGCTTTCTGTTTTGAAAAACTATGCAGGACAGACCTTTAAATAACAGTACGGTCCTGCAAAAAACAGAACGGATGGTCACCGTATGTATAGGTTATGCACTCGTTCAATGTTCTAATAATTTACAAAATTTTTAAGTAATAAAAACGATGACTTAAGTTGATTATAGCTTTTTTAATGTTATTCCTAACATTCGCATTCGCATTCCAAAAATATGACATTCGAAACATCCCTAGTATGTACATATGTATGCACGTTTATAACTATATGTATATATACAACTATGTTGAGTTGGATGATGCATACTAGGGGGATGATACATTCGTCGTTTAAAGTACAAAACCGCGTATCAACAAAATGCAAATGCAATATATGTACATATATAAAAAGTGTGCATTAAAGTGTTCGAAAATAAATTTAATAAAGTAGAGTACACTTTTGCTATAGTTATATAATATAAAGTTTATAATATAAAGATAACTACGAAACATAAAGCGGGTACGAAAGGTTGAATTTGTTTTTCTAACAAAAATCTACCAAAATGAAAAAATTTACCTTTTTGCCAACCAAAAATTTGTCGACTAATTTTGGTAATAATTTTCGAAAGTGGCAACCATTGTGCATACTTACAAGTGATATGCACGTCAGAATGGGTACTTGTACGTCAATAACGGAAAAGTATGCGAAGGAAGTGGCGTACGTACCGTAGAGATATGTACGTCACAATGAAGGTGTTGCGTCTGCAAACAAAAATCAGCTGCTCCTTATGCCCGCGTACTTAGGGTTTCCACAAGTCAATTTTTCAGATACAATAGCAACACATTCACATTTTTTTTACTGATATATTGCCACTTCTCTTGATGTATTTATCACTGTCTCTGGCTTTTCGAAGACAGTTTTTGTCTGGATGCTTACTTTACTCAAGCAATGTGTAAATTATGTGCATATTCTCATTGGACTTGTCTTGTGTAAACGCGGGGTTATACAACTGTCAGCAGTGACGGACTTACGTGCGTCAAAAGTTGAGTGTTGGCCTACGTTCGCTGGGTCCATCGCCGCAAGAGTTGCCAATCTGACGCTCTCTATGCAAACACAAACGGAACGTACGCAAAGTACCCATTCTGACGAGGCCATGAAAAAAGAATCGGATGATTTCCAGAAATACCTCACAGCTAAGATCACCTCATTATATGTGCTACAGAGTTACACTCAATATGTAGAAAAAAAACTTTAAACGGTATCTGACAAAGTTCTATTAAGTGTAGTCATTGACCAAAATGCTTTAAAATCAGCCTCATTGCGAGAGTTGTGCCGAATGCAAGTCATTTTTCGAGAGTCGAGTCCTATCGAAAATTTAACGTCATTGCCTAAAATTTCCACTCGACTAGTGTATTAAAACGGAAAAGCTTGGCAGCACTGCATAGTTTTGGACGATTTTCGTCGCCTACTTCTTTCAGCTCGACAGTAGACAATGCTAATGTCGTCGAGTCGTACAATTCAGCCTTATTTACGACTTATGCAATGAGGCTGAATATTAAAATGTTATATAAACATCGGAATTCATTTAATTCAATGTATATTTTGCCAAATTTTATCTTTATTTTATTAACTTTAGTCGTTTTCTACATCACTTTAAACACCCTGTCTACGTTTTGACAGACAGTTGATAGTTGATGTATTATCAGCTGTCTCGATGAAGTCAATTGGCCCCCTCGGAGCCGCGATTTCACGCCCTTAGACATTTTTGTGCCATGTCGTGAAGGACCGATATAATGCGAGCAATCTATTAACGATTCAGGCCTTTAAGGCGTATGTCGGGCATTTCTTACGATATAGCCAGAAACCATCAACAAGGTCTTGGAGAACTCGGTTAACAGGATGCGCTACTGCGAATACAGTCACATGATGAAATCGGGTTCCATAACTAATGGGAATATATGGTCTTTCGAATAAACCCATAATATACCGAAAAAATTAGTTTCGAGTTAATTTTTATAAATAAATAATTTCTTGGTTATGGTCATCAGATCTTTAATGTGTCATATCAGCACCGTCATTCTAAATGTGCATTAAGGTTTTATTTTTTGAAGTTACGACCTTTTTGTTTGTGAATAGTGTTGCCATCTGTTTAAAATATTAAACTCAATTTTGGCGTCTTAACGCCATGCGGGTTCAGTAGTTTTTACTATGGTGAGACAGTTTTTCCAATCTGCTGTGTAAATTTTTGATAACCGGAGATTTATTCGGAATAAACTATTGCAAATTGAAGTGAAATATAATATTTTAAGAAAACATCTACCATCCCTGCAAGACAGCTAACAGCTAGAATTGTGGTTAACCGGTAGTTATCGTTCATTTGTGAAGCGGTATATAAACTGGCTAACTTTGTTCTAGCCGTGTGCAAATATTAACCACTTTTTCATATACGTGTGATACGTTATCTCCCTTACACTAATAGAACTGTTCGATTTCAACGAACTATAGCTGAACTACTCTAATTCCCCTTTCATAGCGACCGAAGTGGTTAATGTTGTGGTGAACACTTAGTTAATGATAGCTGCTGAAGTAGCTAATGTTATGGTTACCATGTAGTTAATGATAGTTGCTGAAGTGGCTAATGCTGTGGTGAACATGTAACTAACGATGGTTGCTGAAGTGGCTAATGTTGTGGTTAACATGTAGCTAAAGATAGCTGCTGAAGTAGCTAATATTATGGTTACCATGTAGTTAACGATACCTACTCAAGTAGTTAGTGCTATGGTGTTTATAACCACAAATTTTTTAAGTAAATTGTACAAAAAGTAATTTTTTCATTATTCATTTATTTATTTCAATAACATATTTAAAAACATAAATATGACCGCTTTCATAAGGACAAAATAATGTAGTATTAAAATTTATTAAATAATAAAATATTAATTTAAATAATCAGATCAGTGAGTAATTCAATTAATTATTGTTATTTCTGCTGTTAAAATGTTTAAAACTATGTATTTACATTTACTAATTACTAAGCTTTTATAAATAGGTAGATAGGTAGGTTTTTTGTTGTTAAAATTCCAGTATGCAAATTTTAATATAAAATTATTAAAAAAACTATTGTTAAAATTTACTTTTTTAACTATGTACAATTATTTACAAATTAATAAAGGTAGTCGGGATGTTTTGTATATGCCCTTGCATGTGTATTTGTGGTTTTTGGTAGAAAAAGTAGTGAAATTTCTTACAGCAATACAATATAAAAGTTTACTCCATTACCTAAGAAAAACCACAAATACAGAATTCAAGAGCATATCAACTGCTAAGTGGAAGATCGACCTATCTCGGCACCCAGCTCGAAAACATCCTACCTCAAAAAACTTTTCAATTCGTTTTTTAGAATTCGTTTCAAAAACGTCCTATCTCAGCACATTTTCAATACATTTTGAAGTGAGATAGGGCCTTTTTGAACCGAACTCGGGAGCGTTTTTTAATAAAATTCTGAAATAGGGCGTTCTTGAAAAGTTTTTTGAGATAGGTAATTTTCGAACTGGCTGCCGAGGTCGATCTTCCACTCCGCAGTCGATATACAAAAAATCCCGAATAGCCGTATTTAAATAACGTTTTTGAAATTTAGATTGGAAAGTTATTAAATTTTTATGTTACTTTTTTTTTAGAGATTAATAATAAGATAATTAAATTAATTATTGTTAGATTTGTTATTATGTTTAATTTTTTTTTATTACAATTTGTTTGTACCTATTGTGGCTTAGGAACACGTGCTTTCTGATTTCCGCAATGAGGTCAATTTTGGGCATACTCACAAACGCATCTGTTGGAAAAATATAAATGCATTACTTCCTGAAATACATAAGTCAAATAAACAATTAAAACATATTTACCGAAAACTAATTCTATTGTTTTTAGCCCCAGAAGTGGAGCTTTGTTGGCTTTGCCCTCATAATTGTATGAAATGAGTAGAGTGTCGGCAAAAATGCTTCTCAACACGTGTTTCACACAACCCTTAGCACCCTTCAATTTTAAAATTATGTTCAGCTGGAAAAGATTATAAAATTTATAAATACTAGATATGTACATAAATGCAATTATAAATATAAATGTAAATAATAAAATATAATATATGACTACATAAACGAAATATAAATTAACACCAATCGAAAGATCTTATTTAAAATGGTAAAACTGCATCTTTAACTAAAAATCGTCAAAATCTTTCACAGACAAGCAAAATATCATATGTTTACAGAGCGGTAAGTCACAGCAAAAACTGTTATTTAAAAGAAAATATTTAGTTGTTGAAAACAAATTTTTCAAAAGTTTGTGAACAGCGAAAAAGTAATTATATAATTAGAGCGTTCCAGATCGTCTACGATTTGCAGGATTTACTCCAAAGTTGTTCCCATACGCCACGTTCACATAAGGTTTATCAAAGGCAAAAACAGCTGTTCCTGTAAAACCTGCAAATCCTAGAGTACGGCAACAAGCTAAATATGTATTTTGTTTTCTAATTATAATATAGTTCTCTTTAACGGTAAAATATGTTTTGTTGACATATGCTGTTTTGCGTGTTCTTGAAAGATAGAGTTAAGTGGCTCATAGTACAACAAAAATCATACAAACCATTTCCATAAATTTTCATGCCCATTTCCCGCTTTTTGATACGATTTGTAAAAATATTTCGAGTATGGAATTTTATAGTCCACTGAATTTTATTATAATAAGATTTAAGTTTAAAGTTTCTACAAATTTGCGGCATTTTTTAGATTTTCTTTTGTGTGATTGAGTTTATTTTTGTATGGGAGAAAGTAAGCCAATCCGTTCACAAAAAAATCGCATTTGTGAAAATTTCAAACTTGCATATTATTATACTAAAAATCAGTGGGCTACAGAATTGCACACTCAAAACATTTTTAAAATTCGTATCAAAAAGCTGGAAAAGTGCATGAAAATTAAATTAAATTTTATCGAATTTTCCTGTTATTTGTACAAAGTTTGGAACTTTGGTTTTTACGATTTTTGTTATACATACTATAAACCAAATTTTAATAAAAAAAATTGCATACATATGTATATACGAATAAAAATTAATATGAGTAAAATAAAATGCATATATACAACTAATATGATATATACATACATTTGTATATGTGTATAAAAAACAATAAAACAAATTAGCAAAAATTACCATCGCATCGGAGTGTGGTTTGTTTCCCAAAAGATTCTCCAAAGTATTTAACTTTTCCTGGGATGATAGTGGAAGCATACTTTGAAGCAAAGTATGCTCTTTACTAATAGCATCTCCAGTGATTCGGGAAATACTTTGGTGAACTTTCGAGGTCACCACTTTGCACTCTCGCAGTAGCTGCCCTTGAGCTTGAACTTCGGCGCGTTCGGGCATCTGAAAAAAAAAAAAATTATTAAACAATAATTTTAGCATTCATAAATATGTACATTGATATAACCTTTTCGGCCAGAGCATTTGCTATTCCGTCCACCTTTGACTCAACTCTTCCAATGGCGGCCATGACGCCATCAAACATTTCTTTTTGCCTCTCCAGCAGGTGAGACAAGGTAAATTGTTGACCTGTGTTGCTTGTTGTTGTTGTAGTGGCTACACCCGTGTTGGTGGTTACTGTTGGCTGGGAGACAAAGCGCTCCTCGTAAGGCAGTGCCACATGAAAGCGCTTTCTATGTAGGGCTACATCTGAAAGCGCAGGAATGTTTGATTAAAAACTATTAAACATATTGTAAATGTATATGTATGTATATTTTCGAAATACCTGTGTTGCTCGTGCGTGGTGGAGAGAGCGCTTCGGTATCTCCCAGGAACAGTGGTGACAAATCCATTGCTTCAAGAGAAGGAAAAAAAAAAGATTATGCAGAATCGGAACTAAAATAAACTTATTCGTATCAGGAATCCAAAAATAAAAATTCTACCTTCATGTTAAACTGTTACTACTGCGAATTATGACAACTACCAGTGGTTGAGTTCACTACTTCATAGCAGCAGTGGCACGGAAACGTGGATCTGCTATTGCAACTTCTCTACTTGAATAGATGAGAAGCAGTGTCAGAATCGGGAAACACAAGAAGGCCTTTCTTGTTTTAATTAGTGCTATGTTTCGTTGAGGCTATCATAATATTGTTGTATGTGCTATTACTCTGACTACAAATATCACTTCGTTCATATTTTAGTTCTCCTACCTGATCTGTGCCTCAACGAAACATAGAACCAAGTAAAACAAGAAAGGTCCTCGTGTGTTTTCCGATTCTGGCCGTGCTTCTTATCCATTAAAGTAGAGAAGTAGCAATAGCAGAGCAATGTTTCCATTTCCTCTGCTGCTATGAAGTAGCAAACCCAATCACTGTTGTTGAACTGTGCACTACACTTTGTAAACTATGGCTTCCAGAATGACCGCATTCACCAGTCCTAAATTTGAAAATATATGCACATAAAAAGGTATCGCATAATCGTAAGAAAGACTGTTTTCCAAAACATATCAGTTTTTAAGCGCACAACCATGAAATTCCAATTTACAACTTGTTGAACTGACTCGTTTTGGAAAACAGCCAAAGGCTGACCTACTACACTTTTTACATATGTAGCACTGCACTTTCTTTTGTTGTTTACATTTGCACATAATTAGCCGGTTCCCGTACTTCACGATTTGCAGGATTTGCAGGTTTTACCGGAACAGCTGTTTTTGCCTTTAATAAGCCTTATGTGAACGTGGCGTACGGGAACGACTTTGGACTAAATCCTGCAAAACCTGCAAATCGTAGACGTTCTGGAACGCACTAAATAAGCCTGTTCCAGGTACTTCACGCTTCGCAGGTTTTTATAGGAAGCTGTTTCTGTACGCCATAAGGTTTATTAATTGCAAAAACAGCTTTTCTTGTGAAATGTGCAAATCGGGAAGCACCAGGAACATGATTAATGTAGGCAGTTGCAGCAGAAGCAACGTTTATTCGTCGCATGAAAACTTACCGAATAATGTATGCAGTGCTGTTTATTGGTGGCGGCGTTGAAGGTGGTGGATATGCTGGTGTGGTGCCTGACTGGAGGTGGCGTTGATGTTCCGTGGTAGCAGGGTCGAAGATAAATTTAGAATGAAAAATCGCAAATCTGTAAATGCAAAATTATCAATTAAAATATACAAATATTTGAATAATTCTAATACATACCTTAATTATATGATTAAATCGCAGTGTTTCGGCAATCTAAAAGAAAAAAATTCCATTATAAAGAATGCAAATTGTTAAAACGTTCTCTTACCTTCAAATGTTTTTGCAAAATTAACGCTTTTATTTACAGCCTACTGTGATCAAAGATGTCAAACTTTTGCTAAAGTCACAGCCTCTGTGATCAAAGCTGTCAAATTTTGCTTCATTTCCACTTACTCGCTCTAACGCATAAAATTCTTATTACAGTAAAAATGTTTATTAGGTCCGGTGCTCTCACTCAGAATTTTGTTTTGACAGTCGGAAAAATAAATTTGTAAATGTGTGGGTAGCATAGATAAAAAGTTGCGAGTGTGTGTGTAAATCTGTTGAATTTCAGGGGCAACTGGTTAGCTGTGGCTTGCAGGGTGGTTAGCTGTGGCTTGCAGGGATCATTGATTGCAATTCATCAATTTAAGCTTTTGTTTTACGAAAAATTACACACAGCAGCAATCTTTGCGATTGTTAACATTTTCTATGCATCTCTCAAAAATTTCACTAGCCTCATGAGCTACTGAAATTTTATTCACCTCATACTTGTCAAAAATTTATTAGCCGCAAACTTTCCCTGCAATAAAATTTAGAGACAGTCTGTTAAAGTGCTAGTTCCGCCCTATACATTTCAGAACTATCTCTGAACTCAGGGTTTATATGTAAGAGGTTGCGCCATGCGCAGATCCGTTATTCTTCTCGCAAAGTTTGGGCGACAACAACAGCGAAAAAAACAACAAGCAGCGAAAACAACAGGCAACGTAAAAAAACATAAATTTCAAGTGGAGAGAAGCGCTTTCAAACGAATTGTAATCGAGAGCTTATTCAAAAATACATTTAAAGTTAATTTTAACCAAGTTTTTACTCATGCCTTTATGTCGAAAAACCCACAAAATCTGATTTTTCACAGCGACCAATTTTAGCGAAATTTTCACTAAAGCTCGCTATATCTCAGACGTTTATGTATCGATTGATTTGAAACTTGTGCACAATGAACTAGATACTAGATCGAGCTTACTTACTTTATGGTGGTGCCGGAGGGATACGGTGCAGCGGACATACATAGAGTTTTAGTTTGGATTAAAGTTCCACACTACGGGGTACAGGCTTTCGATGCTTTCTCCTTGTATAAAAAAAACCTACATATGTATGCATGTAACTGGCCAAATATTCCCAACTAAAAGTCCTTTCCGGATAATAATCAAACCGATTATCCAAATTAAACAAGTTTGGTATCAACTGAAAGAGGACTTAAATAGCTTTAAAACTGCAATGTCTAAACGAGAAAAGCCACCTATTGAAAAATATTTCAATAAAAAATGTTAATTAATTACCACAGAAGAAACCTTGGGTCAGGTATATGAATTTATTTAGTATTAAATGATATAAATAGAGTTGGTAACCTTCGTTCGTTATTTCTGTTTAAAAGCTATCTCAGTCCTCTTTCACATGATATTAAATTTGTTTAATTTTGATAAGCTGTTTGTTTATTATCCAGAAAAAACTTTTATTTCGGAATAAAAAATATTAGGCCAAAATTAAATGGTAAAAAATAACTTTTATTTTCGGTCCCTGGAATATTGTGCAAGTGCACTGATAAAACGTATATCTAGCCAGTCACAGAAAAAAAGGATTAAAAATGAATTACAAAAACTATAATCGAAAAACGCTGTTGACGTTACAGGTACTCCAAATTCAGAAACAACCAAAAGAATGAGAATGAAAAATTCTTTGGAAAACAACGGTGTTTAAACAACGATCTTACCATGATACTAGATTGTGAAGATGAAAGTCAGGAGGATACATCCGACATATGCAGCCCGATGCAATTCTCACAAAAGAAATATTGCACCGCAATAAAAAAAAACACTAAATATAACTGAAAATCTTCTCGACTGGTGCAGCGTCAATCGAAAAGAATTTACAATTTCGTCAAGTTCCAAGTTTGTCGCCTCGAGCGAGCAATTATTTAGTGGCCCTGAATTACGACCTTTTTAAAACTTTTTATTGAATACAATGTTCCAATTTTTAAGTTCAAGTACTAAAGAAATATTATTAAAAATTACTAACCTTTAGATTTTTGATTTAACGAAATCACCTAAATTATTTCTTAACAAGTAAAAAAGTTTAAGTTCGGGCGGAGCCGAACATTAAATACCCGGCACAAGTATTAAATATATGATTTTCCCCTTTCCTAAAGCTTCCGCAACATGGTAAACAGGGGTGGGGTTACCACTATTTCAAACATCTTCGATAGAACGTTCAGTTAGATATAATGAGATAAACTTATAAAGATATATGTGGGCGACATCACGCCCATTTTCCAAAATTCAATAATAATGTAACTGCTTTTCAAAGGATTGTTTGAGTAAAATTAGCGTCCTTAAATTTCGAAATATCGAAGTTTCAGGCATTTCTGAAATTTACCGTTATGAAAGAGTGGGCATAATTTTAGTCCGATTTCAATAACTTTCAACGTTTTGCCCCTATGTGGCAGCCACAATAATCATACCGAGTTTGGTACAAATTGGTAGAACGATTACCGAGATACATATATGTGATCATAAGTCGGCGGGGTCACGCCCATTTTGCAACATTTTATTATAAGCGTATTTTTTGCTAAAGAATGATTGAAAACATCAATCTTGAATAAATTAGCTCCAGTATTTACTGATTTATCGAATCTTTCATATTTCTCTAAATTACCGTTACATGGGATGTGGGCATGGTTATTATCCGATTTTTTAAATTTTCAATCGTTTGGTATGTTTTGTGAAGGCCAACTGTGACAAGTTTGGGAGAAATTGGCGGGGCAGTTCCCAAGGTATACACATGTAATCATAAGTGGGCGTGGCTACGCCCATTTTCCAAAAATTTATAATATTCTTACTTTTTGCCTAAAAGTGATTGTAAATATCAATCTTGAGTGAATAATCTTCAGTTGTTACTAAAATATCGCAGTTTTCGTATTTCTGAAAAGCACCGTTATATGGGAGGTAGGCGTGGTTATTGTCCGATTTTGCCCATTTTCAATACCATCCGTCCCCGAAAGAAGTGCACGTACAAAGTTTCGTTAAGATATCTCAATTTTTACTCGAGTTATCGTGTGCACAGACTGACGGACGGACGGATGGACGGACAGACAGTCACCGCTTAATCGATTATACTTTTCATTCTGATCATTTATGTATACATTTGTCTATATCTATTTCGATTCGTTTTGCCTGTTACAAACAACCGTTATGTGAACAAAGTTTAATACCCTTGTGCACAAGTGCGCTTAGGTATAAAAATACTAAACATCCGCATCCGAATTCGCATCCGTGGATGTCTAAATTCCACATTCGCAACATTCCTGATGTATATTTCAAACTTTTGATTCAGATTTTTTGGAAAAAAATTCAGTGAGTAGTTTTGAAGCTCATTCAATTTCAGTGCTAAAAAATGCAAGTTTGAAGTCGCTAAAAATTGCGTTGATTTTTGATATTTTTTCTCAAAGGTGTTGAGGGTTTTCTTCCATGCAAAACTACATTTTGTTCATGGAAGAAAATAGGTAACACCCTTGAGAAACAAATTCTAAAAAATCAAAGGTAATTTGAAGCTTACGTTTTATTCACTGAAATTGAATGAGCTACAACACTGCATACTATTTTTTTTTTTTTTAAAACTGTTATTCAAAATTTTTATGAAAGTTTGTATAATTTTTTCTTAATTTTGCAAAAAGTTTGAAAATTTTATGCTTATGGTTTTTGTGTAAAATATGAAAAGTATTTTCGTGAAAAATTAAAGAAAAATTTATTATTTAAAACATCGCGAATATTGTAAAACAATCACTGTACTAATAACTATTTTCACTATGTGTGTAGTTATATGCATACATACATATGTAGGTATGTATTATTATTATTATGAGCCTTGAGCACTGCGACCTCTAGGTTGGTCTATTGTGCGTGGCCCTTTACCCTATATATGAAGGCTTTTAATATAAGCTAGCACTTCGGTGGGCTTTTTGTTCCATATTTCGAATGGATTAAGTGTTGTACCACCTAGGTGAGCGAGTCTGCGTCTAGCG